TCCCTGCCCACCTGAGGCAGTCAGGGCAGCACCATGCTCCCTGCAGCTGCCCCCAGCACCCTTTCACAGGGACATGCTGCTCCAGCATCGCCTTCCCCCCTAGCTGGGGAGCAGCTGGCTCCATCCATCACCCGCAGTGAAATTGGAGCAGAGGTCCCCTTCGCCTGCTTGCCACGGGGTGAAATGTGCAGCTTCATGTGTGTGTCCCCACTCGCAACTGGGAGCATTTGAGGGGGAGGGGAAAGCACTCCTGAAGCAAAATCACCTCTCTCCTGTCTTTTGGAACACAAAGGAAGAGGCCTGAGCCTGAGCGCGGGGCAGAAAGCACTCCCCAGCCTTGCCATTCGCTCTGTGCCATGCTAATAGACTCCTGCAAGCAAGAGGGATCCTGCAGCTGGGCTCGCCTGTTAGAACATCCTCCCATGCTCCCTGGCACTCCCAGCACATCCCGAGAGGATGCCTTCACCTGTAGCTCGTTGGTGAACCTTTCTAGGTTTCGTTTGCTGGAGGGAGAGAGGAACATGGGAAGCAACGCGCATCGGTCAGCCTTGCCAGACGCTGTTGTCAACCGATTCCCTTTCCTCCCCACCACCTAGGAATCGGGCTGGCACTGGTAGCTGCACTGAAAGGTTACCGCTGCATCACTGTCTTGCCGGAGAATATGAGCACGGAGAAGGTCAGAGCTCTGTACGGTATTACTCCACAGCTGAGGAACATCTCCTTCCCTGTCTCTCTCTGCCTCTCCCTTTATAGAGACGAAGTCTCCTCTCCTTTAAAGGGTAATGAGCCTTGCTGCACACATTGGCATAGCTTAGTTATTCAGAAGATTTTCTTTTGATGAAAGAAAAGCACACTGCGATGGCGTGGCTGATTATCTAGCATCAGCGGTGCAGCCGGGTCACATGTCAGCCAAACACGGTGCGTGGCTGCAGAGAAATGGAGCGATATCTGCTGTCTGCGAGGGCAAGGGCTGGATGGAGCAGAGGAGAGGCAGGCAGATGCCAGGGCTCGGCTGCTGGTCCTGCTAACTTCCCCTCTGACATCTGACCTATCACTTGGTCTCTTTGTGTCTTTATGGTTTTCTTTGACCTGGAGACACGGTTGCCTGAGCCGCTCTCTTGAGATGGTGGAAGGCAAGTTGCTTGCACAAGAGTTGATGATCAGGTAAAACTGCCATCCTGGAGATGGCACAAATCTCTGCCTTGGGGAGCCAAAAGTCTCACAAAATGCTCAGCTGAACTCATGCCAGTAAAGCCAGACCTGGATCCTGATTTGTCTCAAAAGTGAGACCTTCTCCAAAGTGCCACCCTCATTTCAGCCTAAATCTCGCTTAAGCAGTCTGGATCAGATGCCAGCTCCAGCTGCCATGGGCTTCATCTCCAGGCGCCCTGACATTCACCCACCCTTCTCTTTTAATCCCCTCTCCCCCCTGACAGCCATATGTCCCAGTGGATTAATACCCTAGGGCTGATTTGTAGTTGCTCATTCACCATGCTTGGTGAGTGGAGAGAAGGGACTTGGGGCAAAGAAACCTCCTGCTTGCATGCAGGGGCTCAGACCACAGCACATTGGAGACACTGCTCCCTACCCCAGTTCCCTCTGCTCCTTTCCCCAGGCACCAAGGAGCAGCACAGTGCTATCTACCTCTGCTGTGTCCCCAGCCTGCCCTCCAAGCAGGACAGGGCAGGAGGCAAGGCTTGAATCCATGTGCCATCTTCAGACAGGAGGCCTTGGGTGCCAGGAGGATGTCAGAGATAGTATAATCAAAAAATGGATATTTTATCTCTACGTGCTAAATGTCTCCTGCACGCAAAGCTCCTCTGGCATCTGATGCTGCCATGAGTCCACAGGTTCAGATTACCATCGCTACGTGGGATCAGCTGTGTTACATCTACTCTCTTCCCTCCAAAAGGTCGATATCCTGAAGGCACTGGGGGCTGAAATTGTGAGGACCCCGTGCGCCCGCTTTGATGCCCCAGAGTCTAACATTCGTGTTGCCTGGAAGCTGAAAAGTGAAATCCCAAACTCTCACATCCTGGACCAGGTAAACACTGTTTCTCCACTGACCCTCTTTCCAAATACAGTTTATAATGTGAGCTCCAAGCGTGTCTGTGTTTGGGGGCTTCGTTCAAACTGGCAACAGAGGCAGATTTCATCAGTGTTTTATGGCGTTTGAAACTTAATCACTTCTCTGTAAAGCACGGGGTGGCAGAAACAAAATAGGGGACACTTCCAAACCTGTAATACTTCTGCCAAAGCCTGGTGGTGGGCAAGGCTGGGTTTTCTTGCGCAGTTCAAAGACTCCTCAAATTGCTTCAGATTTAAATTTGACCTGCAGAAAATCACTTTTTATGCCTGGCTAGCAGCCTCTGTTCTGCCTCAAGAATAGACCTCATGCTGTAAAGGGCAAACACCAATGATTCATGCCAGCCTCTGATCTGACCCAGCTGCAGGAAGGCATCCCTACAGCGAGCAGGGAGCCCCTATAGTGCATAAAAGTCAGGGAAGCTCCTTCCTTTTAAGAAAAAGGGAGCTCAGTGTCTGAATGCCCTGAAAAGTTCTACAGATATGAACATGGGGCTGCACAGATTTCAGTGCTGTACCTGTGTACCCTGTGGTAAATCCCTCTGTACAGGTAGGACAACTACTCTGACCCACAGTTCCCAGCCACATAACTTGCACTGGCAACCACAACCACAAATACCCCTAAATGACAAAGCAGCTCTCAAAATTATATCTATATCTATATCTATATCTATATCTATATCTATATCTAATCTAATATATATCTATATCTATATCTATATCTGTATCTATATCTCTATATCTCTATATCTATAAGACACTTGAAAGAAGTTTTCTAATATGGCTTTTGAGGAGGGATTTTGTTTATTTGTTTTCTGGGCTTTTTAGGAGTATTGTAGGGCTGTTTTCAACTTCTTCAAGGCAACAGAAAAGGTTAAAATGCTTCTATCTAAGCAATAGCAAAAATGTCAAAATGCTCTCTTCCTTCTGGCAGCTCAGGCTTTAACAAAACCACTAGATCCCACAAAACCTGGCAATGCAGCATATAGGACAGCCACACCATCCTCACATGGAATGGGCACCAAGTGCCAGACAGCGAGTGTTTGTGGGCACATTTAATCTTCCACTGTGGACAAATCCCAAGCGTCCTTGGAAATCTGTCCCAAAGCGACAATACCTGTGACCTGGGATAGCTGGGCTGCTGTCCACCTCTCGCCAGTGAGAGGAGGGGGCAGCTGCATGCTTTGGGTAAAGCTTGTCAGGAGCTATTGCTAGTTTGATATTTGACCTACATTTCACACAGTAACTCATGCTGTTCTCTGTTGAAATAAACAGTATCGAAATCCAAGCAACCCTCTGGCTCATTACGACACTACAGCTGAGGAGATCCTGGAGCAGTGTGAAGGTAACGTCTGCGCTGTTGTTTCTACATGTTGAGGATGTGCAGAGGGCTATAACCCTCTCCGAGAGGCTTATTTTACATCGTTTGTTGACCTAAAATGTCTAGAAACAACCAAAAGGGCCTCTGGAGGTGAAGGCACCCTTAATAATACTGACATGCAGAGTGTAGCAGCTTCTCATAATTCACTCCAGATACACCTGAATCTGCAGGGCTGCCTTGCTATGGCTTCCAGTTTCAAAAACCTGAGGGAGGAGACCAGAAGCTTAACAAATTCAGGCTGTACCCAAGGGGGAAGAACCCGTCTCTTAGTGGCTACAACATCTCTGCGACCTGTCACCTGGGAACACATGATGGCTCAAGAGGCCTCACTAGGGAATATAAATCCATCAGGGCATGGTAGGCTGCATCTGATACAGCACACTCATTTGCAAATCAAAATAGACTGAAACTTCGCAGACTAATGACATTTTATGTGATAGCTGGGGGAGGATAAAAGGCTATCCCAGTCCATGTCTGTGCAGATAGAAGTGAAATTTATTACCAAGACTGGGAGCACTGCAAAATGTAAACAGGACTCAAGGGTTTTAACCAGAGAGCAGTTATGATAACAGTAAAGGAGTTGGGTAGCAACAGGAACAAGAGAGTTCCAGCCTTCCCTTTACTACAACATTTAGATTTGCTCCTACTGGCTGCCAGCACTGAATTACAAGTCCCCTTTTCCCAATGCAGTTGCAGCATAACGCTCTGAAGTCCTGACTCTGATTCTGCTCCTACCAGCCTTAAATCAGTATAATCTCGCTGACGCCAGTGGGGCTACATCTGACTGACACAGGTGCCAGGGCAGAGCTCGGCCGCCTCTCCACTGTGGATGCTAACACTAGCTGAAAAGTTGTGCCTGTTGTTGATGTGTGCTGCTATTCACGTGCATGCTTTGCTTCAACGCGGTCCTGCTTGAAAGGGCTGGAAGTGCCAAGATACTCCTTCCACCTTAAGCCAGCAGATGCCAAAGACGCAGAAATCATGGAGACCAGTGGGAGATTTGGAGGTCACCTTCAGCCCCCTATGCTGAGCCAGGATCAACCATGGTCAGATCCTGCAAGCTCATCTCAGCTTCTCCACAGGACCACTCTTTGGCCACTGGCATGACCTCTGCCTATCCTTTCCACACATGGGGTTCTAGCAGCTGAGGGACATGGGCTCTGCACCTGTGCAGGGCCCTGAATAAAGGGGAGACCGCGCTGGAGGCCATGCTGAGTCCCTGCAAGCCTCTCTCTTCCTTGACCTGCAGGCAAGGTCCACATGGTGGTGATCGGGTCTGGGACAGGAGGCACCGTCACTGGTGTTGCCAGGAAGCTGAAGGAGAAGTGCCCAGAGTGCAAGGTAAGCTGGGAGGCAAGGCTGCCTGTGGGGAGCCATGGGCCTCCTGGGTTTTCCTGCCTGTGCTTTTGATCAAGCCTAACCCTATGGCTAGCAGCTGTTGTCTCCACCTATTTGTTTTTTCACAGTGAGCTTGGCTTCTGTGGAAGCAATTGGGTGTTACACTTAGCTTGACCTAGATCCCTCTGAGTACCTTAGAAGTCAAAGGCTCCACAGCCCCATAACTAATTCCACCCTGCATGGTGCCCTGCCCTTTGGAGGACACTGTCAGATGTCCGCTGCTGAAGTGGCTGGCCCAGCTGAGAGCATTTCTGCTCCTGTTTAACCCGCCTGCTGCAAGATTCTCTTCTGGCAGCTCGGCGTGGGGTGCAGACTGTGCAAGTGCTTCTCATCTGCCATTGCAAAAGCCTCCTTGCTTCATGGTTGACACCAGTCATAGATGCTCATTCTGCAGAGCTTGTGCTTCAAGGCAGACTGGAGGCTTGACAGTTACTGCCTCTCCAGGATAGCCCGTGTGTGAGCAATCCATGACCCACCAGAGGCAAACTGAGGTGGTATGGACCCAGCCACTGGAGGATCTGGGCATGAGATTACCTCACTGACTGCTTGAAACTGTGTGTGGAGCAGCGTCACCATCCCTTCTTAAGCCGTGTGCTGAGGGAGGCATCCTCAGCCCAGGTGTAAAGCTATAAGCAATAAAGGAGGTGCCACTGTCAGCCAGCACGACAAGATCCAGAAAGGATGCCTGTAGCCATGGGCTTCCACAGGTTTGAGCTAGCTGGCTGGCTTTGTGCTGGAGCAGATTAAGGAACACTCACACTCTCCTAAGGGTTGAGCTTTGGAAGTAGCAGGCTCTGCCAAAGGGGTGATGACAAATACCTTGTGAGTGATAACACTTTAAGCAACTAGTTGCTTCTGCAGCAGCTGAACACTGCCTAGGATCTATTTAAAAAGCCAGTGGGAAACAGTACTCTTTTATCCTGGAAGCTCTCCATACTGCCAGAGGATAGGAATATTAATGAATATCATGGGAAGGAAAATGTTGCTGATAAGGGCGTGGGTAATTTTTCCTTTGAGCTGTGTGTTTGACTATTTCTGAACTCCCTTTGTGGTTTAACAAAACTTCCTTCCCTCGAAGATCATTGGCGTAGATCCCGATGGCTCCATCGTCGCTCTGCCCAGTGAGATGAACACGACGAACACCACAACCATCGAAGTGGAGGGCATTGGGCATGACTTTATCCCTACTGTCCTTGACAGATCAGTAAGTCGCCATGTGACGAGAGGCCTGTCTGATCTTTGGGTTTGCATCCAGCGTACTCCCAAGTTCAGAGGCAGCCAGCTCTGGCACCTGGCTGTAGCCCAGCCCTAAGGCTACTCGTGTACCTTCCCAGTGCAGAACAAGCTGTTGTAGAGGGACTGGGACCCCAGCACTAAAGCATCTCTCTGAGTAAATCTGACTATAACTGACCTATAAGGAGAAGGCAAATACAGGGGCAAATGAGGAATATGCCACAGTACCAGCCTCCTCAGCTCAGCCTCACCAATGTTCATAGCATGCCTCTTTCACTACAATCGCACAGAAGAGGTCAGCGCTGAGGCTGCTCTTCATCATGCTAGCGTTTCCTGAGCCTTCACTATTGCAGGCACCACACGCACACAGCAAAAACCTTGCACCGCTTATGGGCTGAAGGGCAAGTTCCAAGCCATGTAAGACAACAGATCATGAACCTCGTACCATTTCCTATCAAGTTTCTTCTCAGTGTATCAGTTGCCACCAGGCACAGAGCTTTAAAGCCTTAGTTCTAGCTGCCTGTGTTCCCCTGGCCTCATTCTTAGAAAGGTCCCCCACAGCCTCAGACCCCAGATTCCTTCTGCTTCCAGATGTTGTGTTAACTACATCTTTGCTGTCAGCACACGGCTTTAAGCTGTGACCTGTAATAACCCAAAACTCTTTTTGTAGTTGGATCTGATTTTGCCTGGCAAAACCTTGACCATTATTGTAGCCTAGCCTGGGACATCATGTACACCACTCCCTCTTCCACATCCTGACTCTGGACCTGTCAGATGTCCCTAAATCTCCAAGGAAAGGGTGCCAGCTGGAAAGGCTAGAGTGGGTGCCTGCAAGGACGCACTCTCCGGACCAAGGATGCCATGACAAATGTGTTTGCTTTCAACAAGTGTGGACAGCATCTCAAAGCTGGCAGGTGTTGTAGGCATCGGCAACATGGCATGCCTCAGGGGGTCGCGAGAGCCTGAAATAACACTGCCAAGACCCAACCTTCTTGTTTTCTTTTCAGGTGGTTGATCAGTGGTATAAATGCAACGACAGAGACTCATTCCTCATGTCTCGCAGGCTGATCAGAGAGGAGGGATTACTGTGCGGTAAGCACCAAGAAAACAGTTCTTTCTCTTAACAAACTTTCTGAGCCTCATCCTTTTGGGACCAAAGTTCTTCAGGGTAGGTGGTCTCAGCATTTTGTGTCAGTTAGATTAACAGGACTGAATGGCTGAACCCAGAGGTGGTGTGTATGTCACTGTAGACTTCAGAGGTGTGGGACTGAGTCCGTGGTCTGGGATCTGACTCATCGGCCACAATAATTATAGAAGCAATAACTCTCCTCTTACTGGGACACTTTTGCACGTGGAACTGGATCTTCAAGCCTAACTCTGTGTGGTGTAGTGTTACAGGGGCTGAAGGGAGGATTAATGGGACTCCAAGCAGGACAGGTGGGCTAAAACCGTTGCTCTGCTAACAACTCTGTGAGGCTGTACTCTGTGTCGTTGAACAGTTGCCACACTAGAGGTGCCAGGTTTGGACCAGAAAAGTCTGGAAGTAAAGAAAGTGTAAGATGTTCTTACTGAGTATTTCTGCCTGTGCCAACAAGCTGTAAGTGATCCCACCAGCTTTCTAAAATGAACAGGAGCCCTCAGACAACCCTGCCTGCACCCTAAAAGCCTCTACACAGTGTGTAGAGGTGTTTTTTCAGCCTCCCCTGCCACTGAGCAGATAGCTATAGGTTTGCATCCAAGACCAGACAATATGTAAACTTGTAGTTACAGCTGATAAAAGTCCTGAGCGCTCATATCCAGGGAGTTTTGAAAAAGATCAGGCCATTTGTGACGAAATGCTTAAATGTTGATTTAACCTAGCAGCGCAGAGCCACTGTGTTTCAACAGAAACCACTTGCTGAACTCAACTATAATTTGTGAATAGCTTCATGTTCCCTGAACTGCATTTTTCAGGGCCTTTCCTCATTTGTTTGAAAAATGTGACCCAGTGCTAATTAACCTGCTGTAAAATACGTGCAGACTTGAATGCAGTGTGTAATTGGCACACAGATAGTGGAATGTTTTTGACTTCCAGTACGTGAACTACCGGTGGAAGAATTGCCTCTGTAAAGCAGGTACCTGTTTTCCCTACGTGCAGCAAACCACATGCGTGCACACAGACACAGGGTGCGTTTAAGTCTTCCCATCAGGTTGGCCTGGTATTCCAAGCATGAATGTAATGTTTATGGGTTTTTCAGTCTTTACAATGCATTTAAAGCCGATCTTTGCCAAATATGTCAGACAGAAACTCTAGATTTGGCATGGTCTTCTGCTCACCCAAAGGAAGGGTGAGGCATGGGCAGCAGTGGTATGAATGTCCCCATATTGAATGCTCAGCCCTTGGCCTGCCCACAGAGTCACCACAAGAAGAGGTTCATGAAGTTCATAAGGTGACTGTTATGTTGCCTCAGAAGCCCATCGCCAGGAGTGACCATATGAACATGTCCTTTCAGTCCCTACCGCTTCCTGATCCCAAAGCCTACAACGCTGTGGGGCTGATTGTCCTCCCACTCCCAGCATCTTGAGCTGTCCCGGTGTACAAGGTGCCACATCTGCTACACTTTGCTTGGGTGCCTCTGTGCCGTTAGCTGGGGCAGCGCTGTGCTCCGCGCACCGGCGCTGTGCCCCTGCACCCTGGGCAGTCCCAACGCCTGTGTCTCTCTCTTCTTGGTACCCACCCAGGTGGCAGCTCGGGCAGTGCCATGTCCGTTGCTGTCCGGGCTGCCAAGGACCTGAAGGAAGGTCAGCGCTGCGTCGTCATCCTGCCTGACTCCGTCAGGAACTACATGTGAGTTTCTCACTTCCTTGCCTGCTTGCCAGTGGCAGGGCGGGTGCTCCCATAGCCTTCTCCCTCACTCCCTGCCAAGCCCAGGTGGTGTGGGTTGCTGGAGAACCACCCCAATAACTCTGATAGCATGGCACCTGGAGTGGGTCCAGAGCTAGGAGTCTCCTGTGAGCAGCTCACAGGAAAAAAAATAAATAAACAGCAGGGAGGATTCTACCATGGCAAGCACCAGGGGCTGGGTGTTGGGACACTTGAGTTTTATTTCCTCTTGTCACTGACCTACTGCACGGAGCAGGAATCAGTCAAGCTACAGTTTTTGAACTTGCATGCCTAAAGTTAGGAAGTCAAATAGCTGACGTGTTTCTAAGAGTTACTGAGCACCTGCAGCTCCCATTGACCTTAAAAGGGGCTAAAAGCAGCCAACTGCAAAAATCATGGGAGCCCTGAGGCAGTGCTGCAGTCTACTGCATGAAACAAAGCACGACTTCTTCTAGAAGGCTCACAGACTCACTCTTTGTTGGTGATTTCTAGGTCCAAATTTTTGAATGATAAGTGGATGATAAAAAATGGTTTCCTAAATGACGTCCAGGAGCACAAGCCTTGGTAAGACAACTTCCATCGTTATAAACTGTGCTAAGGGAGTCAGCTTTCTGAGTCTGGGAATTATTATCTTCAAAGGAAAGTATTGTCTTTTAGTATTCAGAAAAAACACAGTTAAGTCCAGATCGCTCTGCGGAGGCCGTAATGTCATCTGCTCTCTTTTGAGTGGTTAGATATCCCAGTTCTCCAATCAAAGTCTATAAAGGAGCCATTTCTGTCCCGAAGTTGCCAATCTGCTCCCGCGTGGCAGTCATTGTCCAGCCCACCTAAACCCTGCTGAGCAGAATGGCTGTGGTAGACATCTAGCTCCCCTCAAAACCTCCTCTCTCTACTCCACAGCTGATGTTCATAACAACATTGGGCTGGGGGAGGGAGGGGTCCCTCCTGAGGCTTTCAAGCAGCTCTGGAGGTCTTTTCAGGCAGAGAACAGTAAATTTTCACCTTCCAGAGCTGCAGGCCAGAAAAGATGACCAACTCATCTGTCTCTTGGACTCCATGGAGAAAGAGTACCCTCAAGGCAGGGAATCACAGACAAACTGCTGATGCCAGATGGTTGTTTAGAAATTGCCTAGTCTCACTTTAAAGACAGCAGGTATTATTGATGTCATCTGCTCCTTTGGGTTACTACAACCAAAGGTTATTGCAAAATATTTCCTGAAAAATTAATACATTTCCAAGGCCTCTTGTGCCTGGTTAGAATTGCTCTTGGCCCTTCCAGCCTCCAGCATTGCCCTGCCTTCCTGCAAGGATAAAGGGCTGAGATGACTTGGGAGTTACCTGTGGTCCCCAGCAAACAAGCATATCTTGTCCCTCATAAGTCACACAAGCACCTCTGCCAGGCTCTCTCCTGGAGGAGCTGCAAATGCTGCATTTTGAGAACCAAGATTGCAAACTAAAGAAGTAAAACTGGTAGGAGTCCCCACTCACAAGCTTGAAGTGAAGCCCTCAGTATCTTCCTTGGATTCAGGACAGCTCAGTGCCTTGCCAACTGCTGGCCTCAGCCCTGCCTCTGGAGTTGTATGAACACCGGGTGTAGTGAAAGCTTGGTTTCAACAAGACCTGGTCATGGTGGACTTGTAGCATTACTGCATGGGGAACAGGAGCGGGGCAAGCTTTGTAGGCAGGCAGACTATCTCTGCATGGTTGGTGTCATCTCTGCTGGCCTTGCCTCCCTCAGCAAGGCCCACAGCCACACAGCAGAGAGTAACAGCTTGGTGCTGCCATTTGTCTTTCAACAGGTGGTGGAACATCAAGGTGCAGAAACTGAATCTCTCAGCGCCCCTCATTCTCCTCCCAGAAGTCAGCTGTCAAAAGGCAATTGAGATCCTTCAGGAGAAGAGATACGACCAAGCTCCTGTTGTTGCCGAATCAGGGTAACTATTTTTACTTATTACAGAGATGGCCATTCACATGGGAAAAGCAGCCATGATGAAGCTCAAGAGAAAGTCCGATTTACCAATCCAGTGATGGGGCTCTTGCATTGGATTCTGTGATGTGTATTTCAAAAATATCATTTGCCTCCTTGTGAAGATTCATCAAGAAAACTCCCTGTAATGAGCTAGTTAAAGTCAAAGCCAAATCCAGTGCCCACTAGACTTGGAGGAGGTTGAATCGGTGCACAGGCAAAGGGAGGTCAGAGGAGAGGTGAGGGCTGGGTGGGAAACCCACACAAATAAGCAACAGGAGGGCCCACAGGTCTTCCTTCTCCCAGCTGCTAAGTTCTAGACTGCAACACCAGGCTTTAACTACTGTTAAACCAACAGCTAGGTGAGGAGGAGGATCTTCTTCTCCTGCTCAGATGAGGGGAAAGCTGGTGCCTTCTGCTGACGGCAGCAGCAATTTAGTCACTGACTTCAAGGGGAGCAGTTCAGCCCCTATATAAAATGTATGCCCTACCTCGGGTCTGACCTTTTGGAAAACTCCATGTTACCTTACAGACGTATTTTGGGAACGGTGACTCTCAGCAACACCCTCACCTCGGTGATGGCTGGAAATGTGCAGTTCTCGGACCCTGTTACGAAGGTTATCTATGACCAGTTCTCAAAGGTACCGCTAAGGCTGTGGCTGGTGTCAACCATTGTCCAGGGCTGGGGAGAGGTGCACCACCACCCTGAGGTGTGAGAGGAGCTGGGAAAAGAGGTCAATGAAAAGACAGAGAGCTGAAGGTAGAGAGACGTGGGCAGGGTGATGGACACCGCAAGGAGATGAGAGTAAGGACAGGCACCTGCAAAAATGCTGCTGAGCCTGTGGCATTCAGACATGAGAGCTTTCATACCAGGAGCAAAACGCATGAATATCCACCCCCAATCTCACATTAGCAGAGGATTTTGTCCAACTGGGCGATCAGCACGCTCTGAAATCAGAGCCCAGTCTTTGCCAGGGCTCAGCAGGGCTGGGGCAACAGGCCATGTCCTGTGGGTGTGCAGGGGTCCGCCTGGGTCGGATGGCCATCAAAGGTCCAGAGATGGTGTGAGGTAAATGGATGGTGTTTTAGGGGAGCTGGAGCTAACACCTCATGCTGGCCCATGGAGGCCCTTTAGGCTGGGAGGGGGAGGCAGCGCTGTATTTCAGCTACAGCAAAGCCAGGTTCACAGGTTGCCTGCGTCCCCTCACATCTCCCAAAAACAACATGGGTATGTGAGGCGCACCCGATTCTGGTCCATCTGAATGCCACCCTGCCCACTCACGGCTACCGTCAGAAGCAGGAGCCAGGCTCTGCACAGCTGCCCTTTAAATGTGAAGTGAAACGTAAAGTACCTCTTTTTGTCCTGTTTAGATTGGCCTGGAGGACAGCCTTGGGAAACTTTCCTGCATCCTGGAGAATGACCATTTTGCTATCGTTGTACACGAGCAAATGCAGTGTAGGTATCTGCAGAAGCACTGCACGGGCTTTGCATGAATGTGTGAAAGGGGAGAGGGAAATTCTTATACTGAGCTTGGCAGGTATAAGCGCAGCTGCTCCACATGCGTGGCCCCTAAGCCTTTGCAGGAAGGATTTCTGTCCCATGACTCTGCAAAGCCCTGGAACTGCCAACCCATTTCCTTTCCTGACACCACAGGGATGAGGGGAGAGGGGGGAAGTCTTAACTACAGGAGCCTGGGACCAGTACACTGCTGGATGTGTGTCCTGTGGGAGCACTTCCCAGATCCTGGCCATGGGAGCTGTGTTGTCCCCCCATGCAGGGGTGATGATGAAGCACCCATCATCTCCATTGCCTCCCCTCAGCTCATGGTTTCCCATGGAAACCCACTTTTGAGGATGGAAAGGTATTCATTATGGGATTTAATTTGGTCCCTCTGACAGCCAAGGTGGACCTCTAGTACTCGTTTAGTCTCTTGACCCTGAATTTAAGTCACTGCCTTGCTGGCTGTGGGCAGCAGAGGAAACAAGGGGGAAGTAAGGGATCTCAGTAGACTCAGTATCCCAAGGGCAAGGTCAAAAGGAGCATTTGGGCACATTAGATAAAGCTTAGGTGGAATGCAGGTGTATAAGTGCAAGGGAAGAAGCTACACAGTTTGCATCCCATTGCTTAAAGACCTTCTGCTGTGCATGACCTGAGGCAGTGCCATCTTCTCTGAACACCCCTGTTCCCAGCTCCCACTTGCCACCCTTGGAGAGGCAGCCAAGAGACGTTCTTATGTCTGTGGGCCCTGGGGGGTCTGGGTAAATTGATATGCTAAGGGAGGTTTCCTGTTAGGTGCCATCAGACACCTACCCTGGAGGTCCAGGGTAAGTTGAGAAAACTGAAAACAAATGCGTTGGACCATGAGCAAGCCCTGTGGCAGGGGCACAGGAGCAGGGAGTCAGGATGCACAATGCACACTGATGCATGCAGTCTGAGGCACCTCTGTATGAGCCTTACCTGGACAACGGCTGGATATAGGTATGCTCTGCCAGTTTGGGAGCACCGTTAGATGAGTCCAACAAAGCAGACATACCAGCAGCTTTGGTTTATTCTCAAACCACTGTACAGCCACCCCCTCCGCGGTGAAGCAAACTGTCTCAGTAGAGTCACATGCAGTAGGACCACGTCAGCACAAGGGTTGCTGACACATTGATGGCAGCAGGGATCACACCTTATTGCTCCCCTGACCAAAACAGGTATGGTGGCAGGTGCTGTTCTGCAAACCTGACCTAACACACCTTTCCAGTACAATTACACCGTAAAACTTCCAGAAGTACAAATTTGTTCTTATCTCAAGGAAGTTTCTGTGTTTAAAATGTTAGCAACATAAAAAAACAGTCAGAAGACCCATGTTTAGGTCTTCTAAATTAGAGCTGAAGGGTGCAATTATACTGATTTTCTGGGATTACACACTGAACACGCAAGGTGTTCCTGTGGTGAGCAGCATGCAATAGTGCACTGTATGGACTATCAGCAAAGGGCTGCCTGCTG